TTCTACTGGTTTAAGTGCAACATTTCTATATTTTAACGTACCGTCACCAAGTCTTACCCAAGATGTTTTCTTAGTCCAGTCTATTTCACTGTCGAATTTGTAAACTTTTTCCTCATCATGATTAACGACATGTTGATTATATAAGACTAATTTATTGTTGATCACTTTCCACCAACCATGCTTGAAATTTTCATGGTGTATTTTGTCACATATAGTAGTGATATTTATTTTATCACCCGAAACCTTTGCATTTTCGGCAAAAATAATAATATTTGATTTTATGTCTTTTACACAGCCCGAATAAACATTTCCTTTAACAATATAATGTATATGAGCAGGAATTTGTATGATAAAATTCAAGAATTGAAATTACGAGTATTGTTCAATAAATCACAAACTTTTATAACTAGATTTTCTAAGTTCAGAAATATAGTGGTGGCTTATTATCATTTACTTTAAAGCCTACAATCAAACTTTAAGGTATGGCTATGTGCATAAAGACGAATATATATATCGATATAATTTGAGTATAGATATTTTTTTTAAAAAAAAAAAAAATAGAAAAAGGCTTTTCGTGCTTGATTCTTTTCCCATAGAAAATTAATATGCGCGAGTAAAATCGGGAATTTATATTTTATATATTTTTTTCAATTCCTTTTATTAAATAATAATTTAATATCCAAGTTTTTGTTTAATGAGACATCTTACTATCTACGTGTTAAATATATTCAGCTACTGGAAAAAAAAGAAAAAAAAATCCCTTGCACAATTTTTTAATCTTAACATAAATGTAATCGATCAGGTCAGTATATGACCTTACGGGACTACGTAGATTTTATGAATAAAAATTAAATTTTCCAACTATCCAGTAATCCAATTCAAGTAACCCTTTTTTTTATTTTGTAGAGCTTAGTGAGTTCTACAAAATAAAATAAAATAAAAATTATTTGAATTGGATTATTAGATAGCTAGAAATTTTAATTTTTTATTCACAAAATCTACGTAGTCATTTTCATGGCAAAGACCACATACAGTACTCTATAATGTTTATGATTATAAAAAAATGGCTGAGTATATGTACAACCTTGGGCTTAAAACAATCGAAGACTATGTAAATTTTTTTATGTGTAAGGGACAATACAACTGGATGAGACATTGTGCAGATCAAGTCCTGGATGAAATGATAGATTTGGCTCTATCAAAAGACATAAAATCAAATATTATTATATTTGCCGAGAATGCAAAGGTTTCGGGTGATAAAATAAATATCACTACTATATGTGACAAAATACAACATGAAAATTTCAAGCGTGGTTGGTGGAAAGTGATCAACAATAAATTAGTCTTATATAATCAACATGTTGTTAATCACGATGAGGAAAAAGTTTACAAATTCGACAGTGAAATAGACTGGACTAAGAAAACATCTTGGGTAAGACTCGGTGACGGCACGTTAAAATATAGAAATACGGCACTTAAACCAGTAGAT